ATCCATCAGTTACGGTATGCAATATATAAAGAGTCTGCCTTAAGTAGCTCACATTAATATAAACTCAAATACCAGTTCACGCACTATAAAGCACAATGTGTGAAAACAAATACATCATTCAGATGAAAATAAGCAGAGCAGTATTTTATGCAGTGTGAATTTTCACACTGTTCCATCTTCATTAAGAAAAAACACAACGTGACAAAACATCAGATATAAAGATCTGCCTTCTTTGAAAGCATAATTATACTATTAGAAAAAGCATCAAGACAGATACAAAAATGTATAAAATATAAGAGCTAAGAATGACTAATAAACTTGCTGGAGATGTCAATATTTAAGAAAGTATATGTTTTGAATGCTGATACACATGTTCATATTTGGGCAGATTATTACATACTTGTACTTCCTGAGGAAATTGGGCTTCTCAAAGAGTTGGGACCAGCGGGTGATAGTGTGGCCTGTGAGAGAGGAAGGGAAAGCTTGTTAAAAATGAATCTCCTCTGTGTGTATGATTTCCTGTAATATTCTTAAAGATGTGAGTTAAACATTGCTAAATCGTGCTAACCTAATCAAAGTACAGTGCAGTGATTGAAGTTGAAATGCTTATTTCTGATCAACTGATTGTAAATCACAGGACAGTTCTTAGACTGTGCTCTGTGAGCATCTGATGGATGTCTGAGTGGAGACATACCGCGCTGGATCTCCTCCTTCATGATGGCCAGGGTGGAGGGAGTCACGTTGAAAGCAGTGTTCTGCATTGGGTATGCCGGCGTGATGATCGGCATAGAGTGGGAGCGGTCTGCCAGATTAACCTGGAAAATGCAGAAGAACACAACATCAGCTTTCAGTTGCTTTTGGGCTAATTGTTAGTTAACTGACATATTTATAGTTTAAATTCTGCCGTGGCCTTACCCTTGCATCCCACACAGGAAGGTTGAAATGACAATCCTTCAACTCCCTCAACATGATGGGGTTTGGCCACTTCCTGTCACAAAACAAGATTTATACAAAATATGGTTTAGTGGATTTTTTATTGGAAAGATGGCATTTACTGAAGAAATGGGAAAACTCAACACACGTTGTACTCCTTGAAAAACTTTGTGACGAGGGTGGAGGCTGAGGCGTTTGGGTACTCCTGGCAGATTCTGGCTACCAGAATGGCCCAGGAAACACCGCCCAGGAAACCCAGACGAGCTTGAGTATATGTTTCTTTCTGAAGAGAAAGGATGAGAGAACAGATTAAGACCTCCACTTCACAATGTTACCTCATGATAACACTGGCATGATCTAATCTGCTCTAACCCACTGCAGATTGAGTAAATTAGGTTCATGGCTGTTTTAGTATTTTCTGATTCATTTAGTCAAACAAGAAGAGATCTCAACTCACGTTTGGCCCAGAGCTTTATGGTCCTCAGAGCGAGTCTGAAGTTCTGAACATTCGGCACGAGCCTGAGGATCTCCTCTGTTACTCTGTAGCCTACAAAAAACAAACAAGAGAAATATTAATATCAAAAAAGTTACTGTAAAAAAGGCAGACCAAAATACATCACAAAAACGTTCCTGACGGGTTCAGCTGTCAGGTACTAATGCTGCAGGATGTCCCCGCAGGTCTCTAACGTGATGCTTACCGTTCAGACTCCTCACAGAGTGGAGGTCCGTCCCCTGTAGCCAATCCTCTCGGAGCAGGTCCATTTCCTGTGGGACTCTGTACCTGGCCACCCTGGCAAAGACTAAGTCTATCTAGGATGTAACAGGAGCACACGAACAAAGATGAATATACATGCTGACAAACCTTTGATTGAAGAATACTGAAGACTGCAGAGACAACATTTCTTCTTAGGTCAAATTACCTCAATTCCTTCAAAGGTCAGTTTAACGACAGGGACGAATGCCTCTTCAATGACCTGAAGACAACAACAGTCAGTAACTTGCAACAGGGTAAAAAAAGTAACTTGTCTTAATGAATGTCTTATAGACGTACCCGTATGTCTTTGACCTCTCTCTGCCTCTTCAGTTTTCTAACGAAAGAGGAGAAGAAGTCCTTCCTCTGGAGGAAACCCGGTCCCACACAGAGGACGTCGATGTCGGCGCCTTTCGAGGCGACCCCCAGGTGATGGGAGCCGAAAGGGACGAGCTTCCCTCCAACCTTTATTTTTTATCTTTTATTGATATCAGATAATGATACTACAGATTATTCAATTATTAATTAAATGTTTCGTTTTGGTATTACATTCATTTGTATAGTACTGTATCATGTCTGTATCACTTGTTTCATTTGTATTTTCTTTAGTTTTACACGCTCGAAAAAAATATAAAATAAACTAAACCTTCTGCGGGACAATGTCTGGGAAATTCTACAATAATAATAAGAAATAAAAACGATGTTACCAAAGCAATAACACATTTCAAAAATAATTTGAGGGCTTACTTTTGGAACAACAATATTTTATAAAGATAGATGTCTTACCATTTGCCAACACATCTCTATGAGCCACTCTTTGAACAGTGACTCCAGTCTCTGGACCACATTCTCTCTGCAAACAAGACACAAAGAGCATTTTCAGACTTTGTAAGTCCCCCCCGGGTACCCTTAAAATCATAAGCCTACCTCTCAAAGCTGTATTAATGACATCTTAATGAAGAAATATATAAATATGCATCTCACCTATGTCTCAGCTCCACGTAGCTCTCAAAGCATCCGAATGACTCGAGAATCTCGATCAAGTCATTTTCTTGGGCACTTTCCTCCTGACGTGTTGGTGGGGGGGGGGCCATACACCTTTTGTTTAGGTCTGGATGGAGCTGTCCTCCTTGTTCGTCTGAAAAGGCACATATGGATGTTAGTGCACTATTAATACAACAGTCATGATAAATAAATATAAAGGGAGATAAACTATATCACGAAACATTGGTTGAGTGGAAAATAAGGTGACTCAACCCCCCCCCCCCCCACAAGAAATCTGAAAGTACTGATGTCAACTGCATATAGTAGGCTACTGCTAGCATATGGTATGTATCAATACAAGTCCAAAACATTACAAAACACAAGTTTAAGCAAATTAAACAAACAAGTTGACTTGCAAAATGTAAAAAAAATGTAAAAAACAATGAAAAAACAAGACTCAAGTAGGCTACTTACCGAGGCATTGTAGCAACAGTTGAGCTCACCAAGGTTGATATATTTATCAGGTTTTGGAAACTAGTTAAAAAGGTCTCTCTCTGCAAACAACAGGTGCTCTGCGTATGTTTGTGTGTGTTTGTGACTGAGATGAGTTTAGGAACACTGACTGGATTCGTATCGAGCGCTCACCATATGACGTCTTCTTCTGAACGGAATTTAAGAACCATGGCACGTGAACCCAGAAAAAACGCCACGTGACTCCGAACTGTTCATGTTTTAATGCCGCGGCAACTAAGTTTTCTTTAAATAAAACGCATCATCTTACAAAGTTAAATGTTTAGTCGAAATATAAATCTTAATATAGTGTTGTTTGCAATAAGTATGAATAAAAACCCATATATTTTGAAGTGATTCAATGAACTTTTTCTTTTAGAAAAACGTGTTTCTACAAGTAGGCTACTACATTTTGAAAAGTACTTTCGAATTATTAGATATCAGCTAAGTAGGTATTAGTAACTTAAGGTAGCCTACTACGTTAATGTAGTGTAGTAAAAGTTAAATATTTACCTCTGAATTTTAGTGGAGTAGAATTACAAATGAGCATAAAATGGAAAAGCTCAAGTAGGCTACAAGTAGGCTACATTAAAATTGTACTTAGTAGGCCTACAGTACTTGAGTAAATGTATTGGACTGGATATATTTTTCGGTATTTTAATTCCTTATTGACACCTAAGGCAGCCTAGGTTGAGATACTAATACACAAACGACTGTTTTGTGGGCGAAGTAATAATTTATTGCGGTAATTATCTGTTAAGAAGCTCCACTGTAAGAACTGAAATAACAGCAGATAGGTGGGGTAGTTTGACTGAAATGAAACACTGTTAAAGAGGTTGAAATTACTCCACTTACTGCTTGTGGCTATAACTGACATACTGCCACTACAAAATCCACACAACCCCTTTTCTTACCTGTCCTTCGTGCAATATGCCAAAAGTGGTGCTTATAGTCCAGACTTTCCCTCTCTCTGTTATGAAATATGTTCGCTTTTTGAATGATTATCAAACTCTGTGCACTAGGTATCAAACATCTGTCCTTTATTAATCACAAACATTAGACCAATAACATCAGTAAAAAGACAAGTCACACCATTTATTTAAAAGTTATGTTTATTTTTGCACCAACCAAAAATATTGGCGCAAAAGTACAATTCCCAGTTACAACATCAGTGACAGTGCATCTCATTAAAATGATAAAGCTCAAAAAAAGGAAGAGAAATAAAGAAAAATATCATTTACTACAATAGAATATAAACACCAAATAAAGCAGTGTCTTAAGTAAAAATGTCAAATACAAACAACCAGTTACCTTTAAACAGACAAAGGCGGCAAGCAACATGAAAATAATACAGTCAATTGTAATAATGCATATCTGGTACAGAAACATAGGTACAACTAACATCCCAGCACCATTCATGCCATTCATTCACACATACTGTATGTACCAATGTATGTTCATTTGCACTAATTGGCAACTTGTGAATGAAATCGACACACACACAAACTCACACACACAGCTGGTAAACAACAATATCCAATTTAATTATCAATCCCATTACCACGGCAATAAATCAATTACATGTAATAAATATTAGCAGAAGCACCTTTAAAGCTGAAATGTGTTTTAATTGATCAACTGACTGTGCAACATGTAAAAAACAAAAGCCAACAACATTACATCAGATAACTAATATACCATTAAAATAATTCAAATTTTAAATCATTACATACATTTGTTTTGCTCTAAATCAAGAAAGAGTATGTACAAAAGTTGTATGATGGTCTCGTCAGAACCATATTAAATTCATAATTAATTCTCATTATGTAACATTATTCGGTTTTCAAAGCCATACAATGTTTTAAAACCACATGTGTAAAAAGACCCTTAAGCTGAGCGTGATTCAGGGGCCTCAACTTTCCCTGTATCAAATCAAATTGTATTTGTGATGGTCTCATAGGGAAAACTGTAACACCTTTTAAAAATTCAAAAGCCCAAGGCGAAGAACAAGGGATTTTGCTCCAATTTACGTGCAAACACTTAAGCTGCAATTGTTATCATAGAAAACATTGTGAGTGACATTTCCATAGTAAGCCAGAGCTACCAAAATAAAGATCTTACAGTTTATCATCATCACAACAGATTAGCATGCTAGAAATGTTCAGAGCGGCACAAAAATGCGAGTAATTTACAGCAAGTAATGAGGAAAAACTATTCCATGACTACTGTTGAACACTTACTGCGACCTGTTCAAGCTCTACAAATTGCTTGCAAATACTTTATTAGAACCATCGATCAAGAGATGTGGCCCACGATTTGTTCAATGAGATCTGTGGAGACTGACTGCATCCAATAGAGACGATTTATACAACAAAGTGTTGGATAGTTTATACAAATCATATCCTTTTCCCTCTGCGCTCAGTCCTTCCAGCAATTAGCCTTTCTTTTTTAACATTTAAATTATTTGCAAATAGCGCAAGAGGAAACCATTTTGATATTTACAGAGCACAGGGCCTATATGTGGCACAGCACTTGGGGCCACATTTTGCAGATTTCTGCCAATCATATGTGTGGCAACATTCAAAATAACTAAATACAATCAGAGGATAAAGCCTGTGAATTCCTGGAAGGACTTTTAATTTGCTTTTATGCACATTTGTGTGTACTCACAACAGCTCAATATATATTTTCCATGTGTTGCTGTATATATATATGTATATATATATATATATATGGCTTCTGCTCATTTATGGCTCCTTTTCCCTTTATCCCTATATAGCCAGGCACTGTTTCTGACCCACAGTGAAACAGGTACATTTCTCATATTTAACTTTTAGTGTGTAATATCACCCCATTATAGTAAGTGAATACGAATAGTTTTCTCAAGGCCATACATGACTGTGCAATCTTAAAGATGCCAAAATTCCTTTCTCTTCCATCCACTCCAGAGAAAATACAGTTTGTTTCAGGGAGAAAATGGCATGGTGAATGAAGTTGCTGTTAAAACATGGAATTCAATGTTGTATTGAAAACTTCACACGAACTCAAACCAGTCTTTTGGTTTGTCAGAATGTTTTTTGGACACTGGAGGATGTTGTGTTGCCAGTATAAGCACATACCTCTTCCCTTTCCCTGTGATCTCTCCTCTGCCAGTGAGGCTAGCTCTGCTTTGGGCTCACAGTTTGCTTCGGGCTCACAGTTTCCTTTGGGCTCACAGTTAGCTTTGGCTGTGCTTTCGATGCTGTTGCAGAGGCAGAGGAGGTGGAAGATGAGGAGGAAGAAGAGGATGAACTCCACCGGGTCTCAACGCCTGTACTTGTCATCTTCAGCTTTCTGCGTTTTGCAAGGGGAGCATTGTCAACACTTTTCAGAAAGAAGCCCTCTCTCTTGCCACGGTTGAAAGCCTGGTGAGGGAGCGAAACAAACAAAGAAAAGTAAGATGAAGTTCAGGCGATCTTTTATTTTTAGGAACTTTACTAAATTGTCAACACAATGCTTTTACCTTGTAGGTGGCGTTTACATAGGTGCGGACAGTAGGTCCACTAGACTCCAGCACATCTGGAGTGCACAGAGGAGTGGTGGACATGGAGGCTCCGCCCTGCAGCCAGCTGTTCTCCTTCAGATCAGAGAGTTTGAGACGCATCTCCGGGTCCACTGTCAGCAGGCCTTTAAGGATAGAGGATGGTTTAATACACTGATGTATCGACTCCTTTAAAGCAATACAACAATATATATTATCTATTGTATAACAATAATGAATATATAAAGTTTAGACATATTGTTGACTGATATACATGATAGGGAAATTCTGACCAGGGTAGAGAAATCACTATTTCTTTCGTTGGAGAAAAAAGAAATACATTTTTTGTTTTAGTTAACAGCAGTAGAGTTTTTGGTCATTTTCAGGTTCATATTTGTATTTTGTGTCTCTACTGTGACATGTCTCCATGCTTTAATGTTCAAAAAGCTCTTTCTTTTTCTCATACTGCCTGTGGTGCAGCACCTCTTTTCACCCTCTGTCTGAAACCAGAGCCCACTCTGCTCTGATTGGTTATCTTGGCAGCTCTCTTGTGATTGGCCGATCACTTAGAGATGTCTCGCCCTTTAGCCTATCATATACAATGTGCTGGAATGCTAGCCAATAAAAGTGTTACGTAGGGATTTCCTATGTTACACAGGTAAACAAAGGAGTCCAATAGGGCCCTTTTAATAACTATAACATTGTATTGTAGCCCTACATTTTCAAGAATGTATTTTATTTCCCTGTATAAGTGAATTAGACAAAACAATCCGATATGGAAAAAAGAATGTTGACAGCTGATGAGCCCTAAAAAACCTCCATCTCACCCAACGGGCAGGCTACAACAAAGCACATTCTGTTCAAGTTATGTTATGTGGCCCTAATAAATGTGTCACCTACTCACTATATCACATACCTTTAACAAGCTCTTTGGCATCCTCCGACACGCCCTTCCAGGCCTCCCCTTCCAATGAGAAATCACCCTCCTTAATTTTTTGCATGATGTCTGCAGCATATGACGAGGTCATCCCCCGCTGCTCACTCTGAAATGGCACCTGGCCTGACAGCATGGTGTACTGCAGAAAACACACACAGCGAGTCATTAGTACTTCAGTTAACCTTACTGATGGGACAGAATCAGCAATTTTTTTGGTTTAAATTACCAGGATGACCCCGAGACTCCAGAGGTCACAGGCTTTGTCGTATCCTGCACTCTCAAAAAGTTCAGGAGCAGCGTACTGCAGCGTGAAGCAGGGGGTCTGCAGGGGGGCACTGCCTGCAGGGCACAGGCGGGCAAATCCAAAATCTATTACTTTCAGCACAGATTCCTCCCCCTCATCTGCAAACAGCACGTTCTGCAAGGGAAACAAATTAGAAGTCTATGATCATCCCCTTTTTCTTTACTTTTTAACACTCTGAAAAAGCAAAAACTGATCAATATTTTGAGTAAATCCTAGTACTACCACTATATACTGAATATTGGTATGTTCCTGAACGTACTGTTTGCCTTACTTAGTGTTCTGTTTGGTATTTTCAAGCCCAGTGCAATACATATGGTGCAAAGGTGTGAGTAGAGGGCAAACAGATGGGGGTTTCATTCAAACGAGGCAATGCTAAATTAATTGGTGAAAATGAGTTTAGATGCTGTAAGACAACAGCTCTTTAAACATCACCCATCTGACAGAGACTCATCATTATGTGATTCTGTCAACAAAGTCAACACTTAAGAAGAAATGTGAAGCAATTATGGAATAATGTAGATAAACAGTTTTAATTAAACACCCTCCAGCCTGTAAACGCATTTAGATTGGCATCAAAACTAAAAGTTTATGCGTTTACGACAGGCATCTCCGTAAAACACTCTGCGCGGAGCTAGAAGTTAATGGGTGATTCCTACCACTATCTGTCATTCACAGCTGCTTTATACTATATGAAAGCCTTTCCCCTTTAGTTAATTAAATCCCACAGCCATCTGAAGACGGCCGCATGCGTGTGTGATAAATCTGCAGCCTTCATTTTGAAAAGTGCTTCACCGCAGTAGAGATATTATGCACTGCTGTCCACTGTGTTTGCCTCGATTAAATGTTCAAATGATGCTGCCAAAAATAACAACATGCTTACATCGAGATATCCTCAGGGCACACAGAACACATGCAGCTCACAGTGGAAAAAATAGAGACAATTAAACTTCACTCTGTGTCGACTAATTCTCTCTCGCCAAATATCCCTGGCCAATAATCCCACGTGCCATGGCTTCCTTTCTAATATGTAACTTCCCTGGAAACATTTACATTTTTAATCACTGAAATGTATTTTTAATTATGGATGCAATGACTTCAGACTGAATAATTTAGGAATGAATCAAATCATCAAAGTCCAGCCCACCTCCGGTTTGAGGTCTCTGTGCACGACTCCGGCCTCGTGCATGAAGCTGACAGCTGAGAACAGGCTCTGTAGCAGCTGACTGGCCTCGGCCTCTCCGAACAGTTTCTTCCTCTTGATCCTCTCCAGCAGCTCCCCACCTCGCAGAAGCTCCATCACTAAATATGTGTGGTACTGAGAGAGAAAACAAAGGAAGAGTTCATACGCTTTCCATAATTTAAAGTTCATGCAATAGGGATGCAAAGTTAAAAATGAAATGTGCAATATTTGTTTTAAATTAAATACTTTGGTGCTGCAGAGATCTCCAAGGCTACAAACGGACTTTTAAAAAAACACAATGATCCTTTTTACATATTACGCTCATTTTCAGCTTCATACTGTATCTGTATTTGTTCCTTCACTGTGACATGTGTCCATGCTTTAATGTTCAAAAAGCTCTTTATTTTTCTCATACTGCCTGTGCTGCAGCACCTCTTTTCACCCTCTGTCTGAAACCAGAGCCCTGAGCCTGCTCTGATTGGTTAGCTGACCGGCTCTGTTGTGATTGGTCAACTGCTTAGTGATGTCCTGCCAATTAGTAGAACAATGTGTCGAAGCACTAGCACCAATAGAAGCGCAAGGGTTACATAGTGATGTCACTATGTAACTGAAGTAAACAAAGATATCCAATGGAGGGCAGGGGGGAGGGTGAGGGAACTTTAGGAATTTAGCCTTTGCAGACCATTTCCAAGCACTAAAACCTACACGATAGAGAAACAAAAGCATAATAGGCTTTTAATATATATTTCAATAACAATGTGAAAATGTTTTAAAAGTTACCGTTACCTGTTATTTTATTAATCATATCGCAATTGAAATATCAGTCATTAATAGTTATGTTTTCCAAATCAAATGCCGTATATTAAATATTTCACGTTATATCATGTCATTGGTTTCCTCCACTGTACCTGATCAGTGTAGACTTCTTGCAGCTTGACGATGTTTGGGTGACTCTCACATTGCCGCAAAGCAGCCACCTCCCTCTGGGTGTTTGCTTCCATCCTAACACAGTTTGCACGTGTTAAAAAGGACATGCTCAGACCTAAACCGTCAGACTGTACATCATTACTGTAAGAGATAGTTACACACAAAAACTTGAAGCTGTAACTAAGACGGTGTAGCAGCATCACATCTCCACTCACCTGCGGCTGACGATCTTGACCGCATACTCGTGTCCGGTTTGCTTGTGTCGGCATTTCCTGCACACAGAGAAGCTACCCTCACCCAGGGGGGGGCCATGGAGACACAGCTCATAGTGCTGAAAGAAATGGGACTCCTGAACAAAGAAGGGATGTAATGAGTCACAGTGAACTATAAGTGCTGTTTGTTTCCTTCATGTGTGCATAGCAGTGTTAACGAGACCTGAAAAGTCAAATTGGAAAAGGTTTGCTATATAAATAATATGACTCATAATTTGCATTTATAATAACATTACAGATTTTCTTTTCTCTACCAAACTGTGATGCATTTTGGGTTATTAAAATAAAGTAGTACAAAGATGATCCACTCAAAATCTGACCCTAGTTTATCCAGTCCTAAACAGAGACTGTAAAAGCACCTAATACTTGTGACATTTCTTTCATATTGCCTAACCGTTAAGAAAACATGACAAAACATGTAGTGAAATCATGTAGGCAAACTTTTGTAAATAAACTAGCTTCTCTTCCTTCCTGTCCTCATTATCAAATACTACCGAGCCTAGTTTTTGAATTCTTTTTTTAAATCAGCATAGATTTTACAAAACCGACTTTCTACAGTAGTGCAAAGAAAAACAACTAACACTAAATCCTTTAAAAACATAACCCAAAATGTATTTATACGATAAGAACCACTGGTTTAAGTTAGGCACCTCTAACATGGCACTGCGTTGGACAGATGCTGAAGCTGGACGATCCGCACCGATCTGGGATTGCACAAAGTCTCCCATCACCGCATTCTTGTTGAACAGGATGGAGGGAGCAATAAAAGAGTAACCCTAAAAAGGACAGAGAAGCAATGTTAGGTGTATGACCAAGAAGTCAACTTTGAGAGAGAAAGAGAGAAACGTTTTAACTCAACCAATTTTACATATGCAGTTCTAGTTGCTTCACTTGTGGTTTGGACTTTGGTGCATCGCAGTGTTTGTTGATTGTTGTCTAATGCTTTAATAATTCTCATCAAATTATTATTAGTTGCTGACATATGCCAGTCACCCTCATGATGTATTACACAGCTTTGTAGAAACTTTGTAATGACGCTTCCTGTATATATATATATATATATATATATATTGTCGCTTAGTAGACAAAGTAAACAAAATGTACTTTAAAAAAAAAAGGTTCGACCCCAACTGTTATAGTGACTTGCTTCACGTACGTCATCATTTAGTTGCTAAATCTGTTTCCATTCCACTTTGTCGCATTTTATTTCAATGGTACAACTAATTCAATATCAGCAACGCGTGCAAAAAAAACGTAAGCGATATTTGAAAAAAATCAATGTTTTACGTTTCAACCAATTTTCAATTTTCCAAAAAAAGCTGGTGAATAGAATTGCGAAGCGAGAGAGAAAGGGCAGACTATATAAAATCCTAAACAATTTAAATATATATAGAAAATGCATAAGACATCTCATCACACAATATGATTTAATATTCAACAAGAACAGCAAGCACTGACCTGGAACAGGCGGTCGGTGCTTGGCGGCGTGCTCGCAGGAGAGTAGACCGGATCCATCCCAGTGAACTCCTCAGCAAAGTTCCCCGTGTCCAGTTCACTCTTCAGCTCCGGCTTGAATGGACTTGGTAACTTCTTCTCTGCTAGGTCCGCCCAGTTCAGTCCCTGTTAGGAAAGACAGAGCAGATGAGGAGGGTTGTGAATGAATGAAAGGAGGTGACAGGGGAAGGGAGATATACGAGAAACAGTCTGGTGGATGGGACCTTGAAGAAGGAATGTGCTTTGATGTCTTCAGACCCCCGGGGTCCTGAGCCCAACCTCCTGTGGGGATCTTTCACCAACAACTTCCTCAGCAGGTCCTGAGCGATGGAGCCGATCATAGAGGGGAATGGTGGGTCACAGCGCAAAATCCGTCTGACAGTAGAATGGTGGTGGGGAGGGACAGGGAAATCAAATAATTACCATTTAGAGACAACAAATTCTAGATTAGCTTTGATATTTCCGCCGTTTTAATGATAACCACCTGTATGTGTTAGGAAGGTTGATTATCTAAAAACATTTTTTATGGAGATGGAGCACTCACTTTGACACCTCACTTTGAGAGTTCCTCTCTCCCTCCAAGGTAAAAGGTGAAGCCCCCGTCAGAAGCTCAAACATCAGGATTCCAAGGCTCCACCAATCCACTGACTGAAGGAGAAAACAGTTTAAAATGTATAAAATAATGGAAATAGGGTGAAATAGGGGCAGATAAGAGAACCATTGTGTATTTATTGAGCAGAACCTGGGTTGTCTGTTATGATACTGACTGCCTTCAACCACAAAAGTGAATCTTATCTTTGAGTGTTTGAAAATGTATCATAGCCCTGCAAATGCACCAACGTTTTCACGACTCAGCATTCGGCTATTTATTTTTAAAGGGGTCTGCAAAGGCTAATATCCCAAAGTTCCCTCCAGACGTCTCCTACAACCTGCCTGAAATGCCTCCATTGGACTCCTTTGTTTACTTACATAACATGGTGACACTACGTAACACTTGCGCTTCTATTGGCTAGCATTCCCATACATTTTACGTGATAGAGATGTCCCGCCCCTTAGCCTCAGTGGATGACCAATCACAAAAGCCGGCCAGCTGACCAATCAGAGCAGACTGGGCTGGGCTCTGGTTTTAGACAGAGGGTGAAAAGAGAGAATCTAAACGTGTCCCAGGAGAGGCACAAAATAATATTATGAAACCTGAAAATGAGCATAATAGGGCCCTCTAACTGCAATCTCTTTACTGATTAATGTTCAACTCATGTGGATCTCAATAGAATAATTACTTACCAGTTACTACTACTCTTCAATCTTCAACGTGACCAAAAAAACACGAACAACATGTTTGATTTACCTTGCCATGCCCAGATTTCCCCCTGATGATTTCAGGTGCCATGTACTCAATGGTGCCACAGAAAGAGTATGTCCTTCCCTTCTGTACGGAGGAGAAAGGGAAGATATAGTATAAGTATTAAAAACAATCTTGTATAAATAAAATATTGTTNGTCAGCTGCAGCTCACAGAATCAGCCCCCTGCAAAAACAGGGCTGGAGAACAGCAAATAGAGCGAAATGAGGCATGGCTAAAATGCATGATCTGTTTGGTAATTTTAAAACAGAAACAATACAATATATCAGTTAAATATAGCATGATAGGTGTCCTTTTTAAAAGTAATTCTGTCCTTCATCTTACCGCATCATTTATGAGAATACATTTCTTTATTTATTTATTTCTCCAAGTTATGTTTTTGTGCACTGAGGAGTCTCAAACAGGCGTTTGTTAAATCATTTTAAAATTGGCTTTAATCAATTTGTGGAAATGTATTCTTCATAAATTATAAATGAGAGGTAACATTTTATTTATGGTATTATTTCCACATGTTTCTCTCCATTCTGCCAACGGTGTCACAGTTTCTCGTCTCCCATTTTTGTGCCGTACGCATGGGTCAGAGTTTGTGTGGAGGACCGCACATTTTCCCGTCAAGTTTGTTTTTTATAAATAGCAAACATTGTGTGGAAACTGGCGTTCGCCATCTTTTGAGCTTACGCACCGTTTCTAAATGAGGCCCCAGGTTGGGATTTGGGCAGCATTTGATGAGAAAATGTGTGTTGTATAGGAAACCATGATGTGTCAGTGTTGCTCTATTATTCCACACTTCATACTGGCCAAAGAGGACATAGTGATGTTACTGCTACTTAACCTTTTAATTGTGGTCACAAGCTCTAAGGTGGAATTAGGACCGTTGTTTTAGCTAGTAGTTTCATAAGAATGATTTATTTCTGAACTGTCCACTACTCGAATGAAAAGTTCCCTCATTCTCTGTGGTTTGCTTTTGAGTCTTCGGGTAAGAAAGCAAGCGCTCCAGCTCTCTGATGTAATGACATGTTTATCTTGTTCCGTCTCCTCCTTCTCTTTGTATAGGGCCTTGGCTAGGATTGGTAACTCGTACTTCAAGCAGGAACAATACAAAGAAGCAGTTCAGTATTTCAACAAGAGTTTGACGGAGCACCGTACTCCGGATGTCTTGAAGAAGTGCCAACAGGTGCAGTGAAAGCTGATTTCTAACCGAAATAAAAGTTATTGTGACTCAGAACATTAGACAGTATTGGTAAAGTTTCAGTCTGATTGGGGGGGGAAAAAGGAAAAGTCTAGCGGGAATAAAAACATAACTGGGCATTTGACTTATACCTTGATATTGTTATTGGATCTGCAGGCGGAGAAGATATTAAAGGAGGAGGCAAAAGTAGCCTATATCAACCCCGATTTAGCCCTGGAATCGAAGAGCAGGGGCAATGAGTCCTTCCAAAAAGGTATGTAATTGTTGTAATGCTCGTTGGATAATCATTTAATTCTTCTTTTAAGAACTTCTTTAAAGATGAACTCATACTTTTCCACAGGAGACTACCCCTTAGCCATGAAACAGTACTCCGAGGCCATCAGGAGAAACCCCAAGGACGCCAAACTGTTCAGTAACCGAGCTGCCTGCTACACAAAGCTGTTGGAGTTTCAACTTGCCCTGAAGGTACACCATATCCTCACCCTGCTTCTTCATTAGTCAGTTAAAAGAGATTGTAGCAAAGAAATGACCTTATGATATTATTTTTGTTAATCAGGATTGCGAAGAGTGCATCAAACTTGAGCCCAGTTTCAGTAAGTAGAAACACTTAACATTTTACTTTAATAAAAGTGTTATTTTATTTGTATTTGTTTGACTCTTAACAGTTTATAAAAATTCCTTTTTGATTTTACACCTAATTCAACTACATCTTTCCACAGTCAAAGGCTACACGCGTAAAGGTGCTGCCTTGGAGGCCATGAAAGACTTCACTAAAGCTATGGAGGTCTACCAGAAGGCTCTGGATCTCGAATCTAATTCAAAGGTATTTCACAGGTTGCTAACTCCGTAATCCTGGGAAAATAATAATAATTTACATGAATGTAAGTAACATTTATTTATAAAGTGCTTTTCCCAGACATAGTCACAAAGTGCTTGACAAAGCATTAAAAGATTAAATGACCACACAAGCCACGTGTTAAGACACACAAGTTACCCAACAATATACATATTTAAGTACTTAGTCTTGTTTTTGAATGATAAGTCATTACCTGAATTCCATTTTCAGGTGTAGTGTGACTCAGAATAATAGATTCAATATTCTGTCATCTTTCTCAAAAACAGGAACATGGTAATTCATTGTTATCTTTAGGAATTGATTTGGGGACCATCAAATCTAAGCAAATGCTCAACACCTAAATCTATAAAACAACTACTCTGACGATGGAGACTTATTCATATATGCTTGCTAATGATCAATTGTTTTTCTTCCATTACTCCTCATTCAGGAGGCCACAGAGGGAATACAGCGCTGTATGTTCAGTCAGACGTCTATAAGGACTGACAGTCCCGAGGACGTGAAGAAGAGGGCCATGTCTGACCCCGAGGTGCAGCAGATTATGAGTGACCCCGCCATGCGCATGATCCTTGAGCAAATGCAGAAGGACCCTCAGGCGCTTAGCGAGTAAGTCCAGGAAATGTTTTCAAGTCACATCCTGTTTCTCAGCACAGATAAGTTAATGTCTCTTTTTTCATTCCTCAGACACTTAAAGAATCCAGTGATTGCTCAGAAGATTCAGAAACTCATTGATGTCGGACTGATAGCCATTCGTTGATGATAACCAAGAGAATCCAAGACAACGTGCAAATCCATTCAAAATATGACATCCTCCTTTCTTGCCTTCAAATTCAAAATTATATTGTCATTAGTCTCCCTGAGACTGTGTGTATGGTATGTTTTTTTTTTAAAATCAGTTTCACTTTTTCAATGTATTAAAGAAAGCATCTTGTATGTCATCTGGAAGACTTGTGGACTCCAGGAAACATTAACTGAAAAAAATCTGGATTCATGTGTACAGATGCTCTATTACATAAAATAAAACGGCACAATTTAGTGCAGCAGCACACACCGTGTTTAAAGGGGAAATGCACCCATAAGCAGATAATGCTATATTCCTATTGAATCAGGGTTTAAGGAAATAAACAATATAAAAAAACAAAACAAATGAAGATAACAAAGAAATTGTCAACATAAGTCATTGTTAACTCTTGTTTTTTTAAGTTTGACTAAACATGGTGCTTTAAAGCTGAGCGCTCAGGTTTGTTCAGCTCCTTCCTGGTTGATCTCCTGCCGCAGGTAGAAAGTTGAATCTATTGGCCACTCACATGTTTGGTATTATTTTTGTACCTATCTGAAATATTCCAGGTTAGTTTTTCCGCCTTGCGGTCTTCGGTTGAATGTATTGTGTGTACAGCTAATCAGAATCAGAAATAATAATATCAGAAATGTGCTTTGTGTTTCCATGATTTAAGAGCTTGAGGATGTTGAAACATAACTGGGACTGGAATGGCATTTCATGATGCCATTAAGAGTGTAGGGAAACTGATGAGTGATTTTAAGATTGAGGTTGATACAGTAATTAAGGCAGCCATGTTATTGTTTTTGTACTGTTATACTGTTAGTCAAAAATTAAAATGTTGGAGGCAAAGCTCTTGTGCCAGTTGCAGTCTGCAAGAATACTGTAGAAAGATTGTGATGTGTTGATCTAGCATAACAGTCCTCACGGTGTTGTGATTTGGTGACCAAGTTTACCTTAGCGCAGGCAGTAAGAAGTGTGTTGATTCATGTTAAAGATGCTTTTGACTGGTCTCAAAGGGTGGATTTACCTTTCTAAACTATCAGCTATTGGTTGAGTAACAGGGGTCACAATTATCTCACTTTATGATAAATCTTGTTTGTCTGCTTCAAATGACACAAGCCAACGACACAGCAGAAAAAAAGGTGTGGGCCATGTCTACATTAAAGTCCCATTGTGATAAACTACACACAACGACCAAGTTACTATGTGGTGGATGGTGTTTATGAAACTGTCATTGCAGGTGAAACTTACTTATGGTACATCAGATGTACAGTGAAATATACAGTTACTTCATGTAATTTAAATATGGCTTGTTGTACTATAAGACCAACAATGACTCAATGCAGTAGGAGACCTACATTCTAAGGTCTAATTCTGTGTGATTTTAAAACATTACAATACATAAATAAAAAGTACAATTAGAAATTATTGTATTTACAAATATCAGTGTAAATGGATATGCTTCCTGTTGAGAGATATATGGCAAATCTTTCAGAGTTGAAGGACCTGTCCCTCAGGTCAAATGTATCGTTGAGACAGGATCTGATCTAACTGGTTCTCCTGAGGACTCGAACGTTGCTCCGCCCACACAGGCGGCTCACGTGACTGACCGTCGCCCAGGTTGTGTCGAAAGCATCCTGGTTTTAGCAGTTAGCTACCCTCTGATGAAAAATATAAAGTGAGGTGTTAATATTTGTATATGCGAATTATTAACTTGGCTTTAACGGTGTCCAAGACGACACGGATTTACCTTAACTGGCCCTGATAGATGATATCTGAAGAAGCCAGCTGACATTGCTAACTAAACATTAGCGTAAGCTAACGTCCACACTTTGACGGGCAAGAGCAGCAATTCGTTAGCTAGCTGCTAGTCTGCCAAATTACTACGACCATCCTAGTTAGCCAGGTAACATATCTTGTTGTTGTAGCAATTATGCTAACTATCTAGCGACGTAGGTGTTTACGCACCGAACAACAGGTGATTTTGAACAGACGTTTATGTAAAACTGGCGTTAACGTTATTACTAAATAACGTGAGCTAATTTATCAATAATGACTTATGTGAAGCAGCTAATGCTAACGCTAGCGACTTAAACTTCATTGTAACTAACATACTCAATTGCCGCTGTGATTATATTTCTCATAGTTAATGGTGAAATAAAGCGAACAGCAGCCAGTAGGATGCTTTTTTAAAGCTACGCGTCTGTGTTTTGTAATTCATTTCATCCAATCACGAGATAAATAATTCAAAACATTAGGATGTCGAACGCTTGGGGATTAACATTTGGACAGCAGTATTTTCTAGAAAACACAGCTGTCCGGTCATTTCGGTAATCCCCGTTTTCTTCGTAATGCAGCTACAATAGATGTTTTTAATTGCTGAACGATAAAGTAAAAATCCTGTATACACCAATCAATATTTAGCTATCAAGTTTACCTTTAACAGTCTGTATAGGCTATAGCATACCCTGATTTAAGTTATGTCTGGGGACGCATCTGATAGTAGTGATGACTCCGATACAAAAACAAATGAAAAGGCCTGCACCGTCAAGCATCAAATCACCAATGGTAAGTCAAGGCAACTGTTTGTAATCAACACGTTATACGCTACTATATGTAACCCTACCTATAGAAACCCCAAAACACCGTAGTTTATTCCATCATTCCATGTATTCAACACACGTGTAACATATATACATGTTTTATATTGTTGTATTTTTGTCGATTAAACTCTGCAGAGTTAGAAATGAATACACTTAGTATCTTCTGATAATGGATCTTATGGTAATGTTTTATTGGATTGCATGATACTTAGAGAAGCAAGCATAGTTAGAAACAACTTACACTATCTGATTCGGTCAATACAAAAAACATATTCTCAATTTTAAATACATTAATGACTTAATTCTTTATGGTGTTGTATAACAGAAGACGTTTTTAATTTATTTGGAAAGATCTTACCCACTTGGTCATGTTTTCAGAGCATCAGTGTGTCAGACCTGAGGAGAGGCGAAATATAAAAAGGGCCAATTGTTGCTTTATAGTTTGCATATAAACATTTGTATCCTAGATAGATGTAAATCTGCCAAGAAAGAAAACATTTTATAATATGGTCATTGCAAAAAAGTAACTCAACACATTGAATCATTATTCAAATTATATGTGTGTCTTTTTCTTCTTATATTGTGATATTTTTGCCACTACATGGTATTTTTTTGTCCACTTCTGAATGTCAAAATCAGGGATTACTTTGTGTTAAATTCAGTCCCTCACAATTTAAACATGCTATGTCTTAAAAGATTATGGGTCTTTTTGCATATTTTTAGAGATGCAAATGCCTTTTTTAAATGTGTCTGCTTGTTTTTTATTAAAAACAACAATTACACAATTCTGCCATTAGCTAACCTCACAGGTCACACTGAGAAGGTCGGCATGGAGAACTTTGAGCTGCTTAAAGTTTTGGGCACTGGAGGTAAGTGTCTACATGAAGCATTAAATATAGAAGCAGTTGTTATTGTACCTGAGTTAAAACTTGATTAGATGTAGGAGGAATATATAAAGCAGACGGGAGGTATTTTCCTTCCGTCATTAATTATCTTAAGGGTAGTGTTTTTAATGATTTTTTTTGTAGCTTGTATGAGAAAGCATCCCTGATGACTTGATGCTCTGGTGAAACTGTTCTTAACATTCATATCCTGATATGAAGATTGCAAATCATCATCACAGCATAAGATTTATCAGTGTGTTTGAAGGTATACCATGTGCTGTTGATGTCTCCGTTATTAAATCTGATTCATAATGAATCCCAATGAGAAAAGTAAAAGGCTGTTTTAATCAACACAGCAACACCTTAATAAAGTTAATGTGCAGGAATGCTTTATGAATCTATTGCAGTTATTATATAATGCCTTAATGGTGTATTTGCTTGTCTTTGTCTAGCTTATGGAAAAGTGTTTTTGGTCAGGAAGAACACCGGCCACGATGTGGGCCAGCTATATGCAATGAAGGTAAGACAATTTGTCTAAAAATATTCACCTAAATAAGATGACAAAACAGTTCTTTCTGAGACACAACTTTAAAATACTATTCAAGGCGGGAAAACAATTTATTATATTGTAAATCTTTGACTCATTTTGCTTTTACACAAAATGTATTTAGAATATTTGCACAGCTCATGCTTATTTGGCATGTCAACTTGATTTTGGTCTCTACTCTAGGTGTTAAAGAAAGCAGCGATTGTTCAAAAGGCAAAGACCACAGAGCATACTCGCACTGAGAGGCAGGTGCTGGAGCACATCCGCCAGTCTCCCTTCCTGGTCACGCTCCACTATGCCTTTCAGACGCAAAGCAAACTACACCTAATCCTGGGTGAGTGAGTGATGACACACACTGCAGCCAAACATGAAGAACTCCTGATCGTCAGTCTTGAAGCGCTGAATAGATGTTTTCTTCTTGTTTCTGTTTTCTGTTTGTCTGTTTGTTGGCATAATTTGTGTTTGGGTAATTTTCGTAAATTGTCTATTGAAGCTCTCTGTGTATTTGACTGTGTTTGGGTACAGACTATGTGAGCGGCGGGGAGATGTTCACTCATTTATACCAGCGGGACCACTTTCCTGAAGAAGCTGTGCGGATTTATATTGGGGAAATAATCCTGGCTCTGGAGCACCTGCACAAGGTGGGTGTTTATCCCTCCAGCTCTGTGATTTTAAGCTATATTTATAGATCGGAGTAGTTTTTGGATAGTTCTTTGGATACAAAGATGCCGAAGACAGAGAAAGCACACTTACAGAGACACCAACGTATCTTTTTTATATTTGGTGAAGCCCTAAAAATTCACAAACTGTTGCCTAATCACACACATTTAGCAGATATTCACATTATCATTCAAGTCTCATTGTTGGTGGTCTTTTATCAATGACTCGGTAGCCACCAACTCCCTGACTATTTACCAGATTTTCTAGAACTATCTGTCATTTGGTTCTGGATAAAAGGAATGTAGTTTACTTTAAAGTTGACTTTGACAACTTTATGAACATATTCACTGTTTTTAAATATTAACAGCTGTCTCTAACTTTCTAAGTTATGACCTTGATGCTAGACAGTGCATTTAAAGAAATAAAAACCTTGACATCGCAAAACACTGACATAGTAGATTTTTGACTTTTATGAGTTGTTCCTTTGCATAGCTTCAAATAAAGCAATCTAAGCAAAAGTGTGTCAGTGACTCATATCCTCATTTTGAATTGCTTAACATAGTTGTGAAATGCTGCAATTACTGACAATAACCAGTTGATAATGGCTCATTCTGTCTTCATTGTTTTTAAAAAGGTTTACTAGGTTCTTTTGTGACTCAATGTAGAAATGAAGATGATTCATTATTTGACTGTTTTTTGTTTAGCTTGGGATTGTGTACCGAGACATCAAATTGGAAAATATTCTTCTCGACAATGAAGGCCATGTGGTGTTGACAGACTTCGGGCTCAGCAAGGAGTTTCTGGAAGAAGAGGTATGTAATAGGGTTGCCAGAAACTGACCATGATCAAAATCGATTATTCGGCAGCCCTGGCGGGAGAGAAAAAAAAAAAACTCAGACAAAAGGATTTCCGTTGTTTTCTTTACTGGAACATGTTTAACAGTACAAACAAAATAAACGAAAAATAAACCAACATCAACATGATGCAGTTCCTTGAACTCTTTTTACCTGCCGCTTTGTTCATCTTTAGTCGCACNAATTAAGCACTTTTAAGATGCACACATTTTCAAAAGCTATTTTATTTATTTCCTCTATTTATTTTTGAATGCAGCCCGAAAGGAACATGGATATGTGTAATGTTCCTTTCGGGCTGCATTCAAAAATAAATAGAGGAAATAAATAAAATAGCTTTTGAAAATGTGTGCATCTTAAAAGTGCTTAATTTTAGATAAATACAATAAAGTGTAGCAGCAGATTGAGTTTCCCTTTTTCTTTGTTAAAGGACACCTATCATTCTATATTTAAATGATATATTGTAGGGCCATACCTATATAAAGGTATATTTATACGTTTCTGTTTTCAAAATACCAAACAGATCCTGCATTTTAGCCATGCCTCATTTCGCTCTATTTGCTGTTCTCCAGCCCTGTTTTTGCAGGGGGCTGATTCTGTGAGCTGCAGCTGACCCACGCCCCCCTGCAGGAGAGGGGAGCGTGCTCTGATCAAGTCAGAAGAGGGGGAGAAAATAGATCTCCGTCCTCCGTGTTTTATTATATAGAGTCGTTGTTCATTTGTTTTAAAGCTCAATAAATAACAAAGAAGACCTTTGACCGGCACTTTTCTAATTTTGTCCGGAAGATTTAAACTTTAACGGACATCTACTGAAACTCTGCCGCACGGTCCCCTTGTTCCTTGGAAGAGGCGGAGAGGTGGGTGTTTGTCATCTGCTGATGGACTAACCAGAGAGAATTACAGTGCTTGCCTCGACGGGGAGGGATTGCATTGAATTACAGCAGCGGGAGCAAACGCTTGAAGGGCAGAAGGGCAACCATGGCAACCATGCGCGTGAAGCAGCGTTTCCGCCAGGGGGCCGTCTTGCCGTCATTTGACGCCCTTATTCAGCTCGGGACGCCCTGAACGCGAGCCGAGGGCGTCCAAAAAATATTAATAATTCGAGAGAAGATATCGCTTGAAATAACGAAAAGGAAAAAGGACAAAGACATCCCGCTGTTGGAGGGGCAAACGAGTCTGGTGGGATTATTTTCGGAGTATTGAAGATCGTTTCCCCGACATCGAAGGTGCCTGCTACAGGACAACACGGAACGTGCGCGATTTGGACACGCTGAGCGAGGGGGTTTTAGTGGAGCGCGTGAGCTGCGAGCGCCAGAGCCTTGCAGCGGCGAAACTGAGGCTCCGTGGTAAACTGATAACATGAAGAGCCGTTTGGGAGCTGAAACAGCCGGCGCTTTAAGAGAGCCGAGCCAAATTATCCGGTTCACTAACGTAAAAAGATAGTAGGCCTATCTATAAGGGACGGCTCAAGTCAAAATTCAAAACAACCTTCTTCGTTTATTAACGCTACACCATAGCGTTTCGTGAGTCGGTTGTTGGGTGAAAAGCAAACAGCTGTTTGCTGCGGTGCGCAGCGCGAGCAGGCTCCCGTGAGCGGGAGCGCGCTCCTTCACTACAGACTATCGCGCCACCTAACCATTGGCCAAAATGTTTTTAATACCAGCGGTAACCGGCCAAGCGCCGGGCAAAAAACAATCTTCAAATAAAGAAAGTCACCGGAGGAGCTAAAGGAGAGTGACAGGGAATATGAGAAGAAGTAGTGCAGTGACGCGTCCTAAAACCCTTTTATAATATATCGATTAGATTTATTATTCGAAAAATATGAAAGTAGGGTAGACATGTGGAGATTATCCGGCTGAACNAAAATCTTGAAATAAAATAAAATCCATGGGCACAGTGTAAAAACACAGGACAAAAGCACTGCTCTCTGTCAGTTACATTTTGAAGCATATTGCACTTTTGGCCACACCCCAATCAATAATTTCTTAGCAATGTTCAGCATGGATAGGTGTTGACAGCAATGGCATGGGAAAAGGATTGTGTACAATTTGAAAAGTGGCTTCTGCTCTGCACTGAACCAGTTCAAATATTGCATGGAACCTGCAAAAAAAAAGAGAAGATACAGTAAAACTTGCACGGTTGTGATTGACAAAATCTGTCCACATGCATTTAAAGTTTACACTAGGCAAAGTACTCAAAAGCACCTCTGTGTGTCTTCAGGACCACATTGCCATGATGACACACACATGCAGACTCAATAGATGAAAACAATAGCAGCGTTGCTTTAGCAGCTGGTAATAATGGCTCTGAATTCGCTAAGAGTGACAGTTTAAAAAGTATGCAATTACCTAATTCATTATCTCTTATGCGCTAACCTATTATTTAATGTGCTTCAAAAGGACATGAATATCCCCTTCATCAGTGACCGGTCCACCCCAGGATCTGACCATACGATGGCAACCATCGTGGTCGAGGGAAACAAATGAATGAGCAAGCATTCTACGTTAAATGTGTTCATACTGTTTGAAATAATGACTGTCGGCAGTGTAAACATCTTTGTTACATATTTTTTTTAATTGATGTGTGTGATCTGCAGATTGGTGCCATTGAGAGTTTGTTTCTGTAGTTTTACAAAAACTTTACAGATTTTACATATTTGGCACTGGTTTTGAATATAAAGGCCTCTAAGTTCGTTGTGATGACAGCATGTATTTGCTGTGTCCCCATTTCCCATGGTAATATGGCTAATGTGTTTATTTATTATTTGTGGGGCAATTTAAATTTGTGTTATTTATCTTTTTTTTTCAAGATTTAAATCAAGCTCAGCCCAAGTTCTTTCAGGAAGACTGAATTTATATACATTCACTCCGCAGCTGCATGTAATCAGCTCATCACAGGCGTTCTCTTTAACCTATTACATTTCACCTCATTCTCCAGCAGCCAATCAACGTGCTGCAGCCAAACTATAAAATGGTTCTCCTCTCTCCTGCAGTCAGCTTTGATTTCAGGTGTTCATACACCTTATCATATGGCATGTGTCAATAAATGTTCAAATAAAATGAATTCTCTCCTGATTGAAACATCATGTGTTGAAATAAACAACTGCTGTTCAAAATAAAAAGTGAATTGCCTAATACTTTTGTTGTGGAATCAATTAATTTCTTTCTTTAAAAGGCAAAAACATGAAAAAGCTAAGAAAAAAAATATTGAATACAATATATTTGGAGCAACTTCCTTTATAAATGGTTGTCAACTTAAAAACGTGTGTTCACAATGATGGTAATTAAGTACATACAACTTAAAATTCCTTTTAAATCATAGGGTAAAATAAGTTGGAACAACTTAATTTTTGGAGTAATCAACTTAAAAACTTGTATCCCGAATGAGGGTAATTAAGTACATACAACTTAAAGACCCTTTTAAATCATGTGGTAAAACTAGTCGGAACAACTTAATCTTTTGAGTAATCAACTTCAAAACTTGTGTTTGTGTTACCAATTATTAAGTAAGTGGTAATTAAAAACACATCTGATTGTAGAGGAAAACCTACATTTGTCCAAATAAAACAAGACGGATCAAAACATAAGTAGCTTTATTTAAACTGGACAATATTACAAATGCAGTAAAATAAGGAACTCCAGGAACAACTAATCCATGTCAGACCGAACACGTTAACAGCTTCTTAAATCAGCTTTGGTCCACATTTTGAATGAATAACAACAAACAGCACAACCTGGTCTGCACATAAAACAATCAGCATTCAACTATTAAATAAAGGTCTAATATTTCTTATAGGTTAAAACTATTATCCACGCAAAGAAACACATGATCTAATTCTTAAACCTACTTTACTACTTCTACTAACAACATTCTGTCTAAATGTTCAGTTAATAACAGTAAACAACAAAACCACAAATACACCCTCATTAAGAAAGTGGGATTCAACAATTCAAATCAAGTACAAATTGAAAGCAGTCGCACATTACAAAGAAAAAACAGCAAATTAAAAACATTTGCACGTTCATTTACAGAAGTCATTGAAGAGTTTGGGTTTAGGTCAAAAGAGAGTCAGTTATAACAAATCCATCAGTTACGGTATGCAATATATAAAGAGTCTGCCTTAAGTAGCTCACATTAATATAAACTCAAATACCAATTCACGCACTATAAAGCACAAATGTCGTGAAAAAATACATCTCTCAGATGAAATAGCAGAAAGCAAATATTTTTAATCAGTGGAATTTTCTCACACTGTTTCCATCTCATTTAAAGAAAAAACACAACGTGACAAAACATCAGATATAAAATCTGCGTCTTTGAAGCATAATTATACTATTTAGAAAAAGCAATCAAGACAGATACAAAATTTAATAAAATAAGAGCTTAAGAATGGACTAATAAACTTG